CTGAAAAATGTAGGTGACTCAGCTAGGAAAAAGGAAAGGTTTGCTGTTGCCACCCAAGAGCATCGAGCTGGCGCGCAAAACCCCTAACTGTGGGTTCCCTAACCACGTGATCTGTAAGCGAATTCCAGCGATCTATACCTCGGCGCGATAGACGAGTTTCCGTCCTAATCCTATCAGACCGTGTTTTATGCAGTTTTATTGGGTGACCGCGGAGACTAGGTAACGTAGCGGGACTAAATAGCCCTGACACGTCCGGTCCAATCTTACCCGTCAAAATACGATAAGTGAGAATCAGCTCCCCTCTCAGCCTTCGGTAGTGCATGGAGTACATATCCAAACTGAGCAAGCGTTCAGGATACGTCTGTCCCCGTAGACCCTGCACTAAACGAGTGCCCACTCGTAACACCCTCTCCAAGTCCATTTTGTCTCGGTTAAGACATGGTGGACAAGCCTGAATACAATATTCCAGATGGGTTCGGACGAATGCCGAAAATAGCTTCACAAACAACTTGGCCGTTAAGATTCCGAAACAGTGGCGGATAAACCACATCATACGAAACCCTCGACAAGCAGCCTTCTTCCAGTTGTCTCCAGAATGAAGTGCTGATGCGTGTACGACTCCTAAATCCACCCGCTGAGTAAAAGCAGGGAGTTCACCACCGCCGAGAACATATCGGGTGGGAGGATTAGCAGCTCCGATTCGGAGAACAGAGCACTTGGCCCTATTCATGAGCATCAACCATAAGATAGACCATTCCCAGAGTCTACCCAAGGCACGCTGAATTGCCTCAGGACCCCCGGGATATCCACAATATTCCAGAGCTTAAGGTCGTCAGCAAACATTAATGATGACACCCTAGCTCTCCCGGCAAGTCATTTACATAGATCGCGAACAACAATGGCCCCAATACCGAGCCCTGCGGAACGCCACTAAGGACAGCTTGCCTGAGCGAAAGGTTACGCCCCACCCGTACGCACTGTTCCCTCCCATCAAGGAAGGCCGACACCCATTGAAGGGCGCGACCAGATATCCCGTAAGAGCACAACTTTAGTGAGAGCCGAAGATGTGGAACAGTGACAAACGCTTTCGAAAAATCTACGAATAGCACGTCTACAACGTGGCCACTGTCTACCGCTTCGGCCCAGCTTTCACGAGCTACAAGTAAATTTGTCTGACATGAAAATCCTTTGCGGAATCCATGTTGTGCAACACTGAGAAGGTTGAATCGACTCAGGTGGTTCTCCACTGAATCCCTCATCAGCTTCTCGAACAACTTGACTACTACGCTTGTCAAACTGACAGGCCGGTAGTTCGCGGGTAGAGCGCTGTCACCGCCCTTAAAAATCGGACAGAGGATTGCCTTCCATTCCGAAGGTTGGCTGCAGCTGTACAGCGATATTGAAAATACGCATGTGAGTGGACCACTCAGCTCAGTGGCCGATTCATGCAACAGCTTCGGATGAATTGAAGGGGGACCGGAAGCGTTAGAGGGATTAACGCCTTGCAGTAGCTCGAAGACCTGAGTCTCCGTTATGCTAAATTCAGCTAAACAATAATCCTCTGGAACACTTGAAACCAATTCAACCTGCGGTAAAGAGGTCTCCCGAGCAAAGACCGCAGTATACTGCTCACTCAGTATACAAGCCTTGTCATAGTCAGTTTGCGCACGGGTCCCGTCTGCTCGCAATAAAGCTAGTATAGACAATTTTGCCCCTCTGCGAGACAATTTTGCCCCGCTGCATAAACCACGGTCTGATAGGATTAGGACGGAAACTCGTCTATCGCGCCGAGGTATAGATCGCTGGAATTCGCTTCCAGATCACGTGGTTAGGGAACCTACGGTTAAGGGTTTAGCGCGCCAGCTCGATGCTCTTGGGTGGCAACGGCAAACCTTTCCTTTTTCCTAGCTGACTCACCTTCACTTTTATTGAGTCAGATATCTTGGTATTCCACTTGCTTAGCTCTTACCGTTTTCTCCTTTACCTTCTGCGTTTACTTTTTCTATTTCTAACTTCACGTAACCGTCGCAGCAGAGACTGCCAAGGCAAGATACATGGGCATTGATTTGTTAGGCAAGGTGTGATGCGGCATTTGTTTTAGGTCCATCAGTATTTCAAAATTGGCAAGCTCCTGGTTCAACGACCCGCCGAAGAAGGAACACTCACGGGCTAATCCTATCGTTCCAGTCCCGCTTGAACTTGAACTTGGTACAGTTCGACGCTGGAATCGTTCGGTACAGAACTGCTGGACTTGACGCTGCAGGTACCACTACACCAGTTCGTGGACCTCCCCACTAGGTACATGAGCAATCAGCAGCCGTCCATTTTAGATCTTGTTTTTGCTAAGTCACTTGACTTTGTAAATGACATTAAATATGACTCGCCTCTTGGCGCTAGCGATCACGTTTGCTTGTCTTTCCAGTGTGCTCTTATCAGGTCTTGCCAAGCTACTACCAGTTGGTATCCGAACATTTGGGCCGCGGACTTCCAAGCGATGCGGGATAGAGCTAGGTCATCGCCTTGTGTGATATCTGATACCGACACTGTTCATATACCCTGGGAAAAGCTTAAGGCTCACCTCGTCGACATTTCTGCACCTCACGTCCCACTGGTAAAAAGAAGGGAATCGAAAGCGCATCCTCCGTGGATAGATTCCGCGGGCAAGGGCCTGCTAAAGAAGAGGTCTAGATGCTGGCGAGCTTACCGAACAGCTCCGTCAAACGGCACGTTTGACAAATATCGGTTGGTTCGAAATGAGTGCAAGCTACATCTTAGGTTGGCCCGGCTTCAGTATGAAAAGGGCTTAGCTCATACTGCTTCGAAAAATCCCAAGAGATTTTTGCTTACGTTAAACGACGCTGTGGTGCAAACTCGCCTATTCCACCATTGCTTCGAGGAGATGGGACCCATGCCTATAGCGACTATGACAAGGCATGCGCGCTTGGTAAGCAGTACTCAAGCGTCTTTGTCCGCGGGACAAATACGCCATGCAAAGAGTTAGTTCCTAGAGTCCCTGAGGACTGTTGTCTGGATGAAATTCCTGTAACGGAGTCCCAAGTTCTCCGGTTGCTAAAAGAGGTGAACCCAACTAAGGCTTCTGGGCCAGATTCCGTTCATCCAAAATTGTTGCACGAATTGGCAGGGGAACTCAGTGGACCTCTGACTTGTGTGTTTCAGAAGTCACTCAACAGCTGTATCTTGCCTACCGAATGGAAGGAGGCTGTTGTCTGCCCGATTTTCAAATGCGGTGACAAAGACCTACCTGCTAATTACAGGCCTGTCCGCTTGACTAGCGTGGTCGTTAAGTTACTTGAAAAAGTAGTACGAGATACAGTGGAGAACCATTTAAATAGGTTTTACCTGCCTAGCGTCGAGCAACATGGTTTTCGCAAAGGATTTTCGTGTCAGACGAACTTGCTGGTAGCTCGAGAGTGCTGGGCTGAAGCCGTAGACAGTGGACATGCGGTGGATGTGGTGTTCATTGACTTCGCCAAGGCCTTTGACACTGTCCCCCATTCGCGACTCTCACTGAACTTGAGGTCGTATGGAATAGCTGGTCGCGTTCTCCAGTGCGTATCAGCTTTTCTGGATGGACGGGAACAGTGTATTCGTGTGGGAAGCAGTCTTTCGTTTCGACAGGCTGTACTTAGCGGCGTTCCGCAAGGCTCTGTCCTAGGTCCGCTGCTGTTCTCAGTCTACGTGAATGACTTACCGGAGGAGCTTGAGGTACAATCGCTTTTATTTGCTGATGACCTAAAGCTCTGGAATATTGTTGATATCCCTGCAGGTCCTATGGCTCTTCAACGGGCTCTGGATAAACTCTTGGAATGGTCTGTCTTGTGGCTGCTGCCCATAAACCGGGCAAAGTGTTCAGTGCTGCGTATCGGAGCATCTGATTCCTCCACAAGTTATGTACTCGATGGGAGTGAACTTTCTCACGTGACTCATCAGGTTGATCTAGGTGTCATCCACTGTTCCACATTACACTCTGGAGACAACTGGAAGAAGGCGGCTAGTAAAGGGTTCCGGATGTTGTGGTTTATCCGTCGTTCTTTTGGGACCCTAACCGCTGATGTATTTGTGAAGCTCTTCTCAGCGTTTGTGCGACCCCACCTAGAATATTGCGTCCAGGCCTGTCCACCATGCCTTGTCCGGGACAAAATGGCACTAGAAAGGGTGTTACTTGTCGGTACTAGGTTGGTCAAGGGATTACGAGGGCAAACGTACCCCGAACGCCTACTTAGTTTGGGAATGCAGTCAATGCACTATCGAAGAATTAGAGGGGACCTAATCCTAACCTACCGTATTTTGACTGGGAAGGTTGGCCCTGATTTGTCCATGCTATTTAGTCCTGCTAGATTATCTGGTCTCCGCGGGCATTGTATGAAGCTGGACAAACCGCGGTCCGATCGAGTTAGAGCGGAGACACGCTTATCGCGTCGAGTCATCGAGCGCTGGAACCTGCTTCCTGAAAATGTTGTCAAGGAAGCTACGGTTAAGGGGTTTGAGCGTCAACTAGATGCTCTTGGGTGGCAACACGAAACCTTTCCGTTTTCCTGACAAATTCCCATCTTCATACTTCGATTCTATTTTCTTTGCTTTTCCTCGTCATTGGTATTATTCTCTTCTTTTAACTGATTTCCCCTACTCCCTTACCTTCGATTCTCCTTCCTCTCTTACTTACTTCACGTAACTGACACAGCTGGGACAGCTAATGTTAGGAACGTGGGCATTAAATTGGTGGACCAGGGTGTTTTTCGGGTGTTTTCCTTTTAGACCCATCAAGAAGTCGGAGCACCCCTATCAACTCCTGGATCGACGACCCGCTCAAGAAGGAACACTTACGGGATTCATCCTCTCGTTCCAGTCCCACTTAATCTTGAACTTCCGAATAAACGTAACGTAAAAATCTTCAACACAGCACTGAAGTAAAATGGTGGCCTAAACAAGAACATCTGGACTAGCGTTAAAATCATTCTTAAAATGCAAATTTGTTTATCTAGACAAATGTTAATGAATTTCACATTAAAGGCGCGCGCGGGCTACCGGTTCTCTGAAGCCATGGCTGGAGTGAAGTGTTACTTTGATATTTCCGCCGATGGCGTTTCCCTTGGCCGGGTCACTTTTCAGGTAAATTGATAGGTAACATAAACTTGCTTTTTTAGCTCTACCCTGATCTTCCAAAGACTACTGAGAATTTCCGCGCGTTGTGCACCGGCGAAAAGGGTTTCGGGTACAAAGGGTCCAGTTTCCACCGCATTATTCCTGGCTTCATGTGCCAAGGCGGTGACTTCACAGCGGGGAATGGCACTGGAGGCAAGAGCATCTACGGTGCAAAATTTGCCGATGAGGGATTTCAACACAAACACACTAAACCTGGATTACTCTCGATGGCAAATGCTGGACCTAACACCAACGGCTCCCAGTTCTTCATCACGACCAGCGTCTGCGGCTGGTTAGATAACAAGCATGTTGTCTTTGGAGAGGTAGTGGATGGAATGGATATCGTAAAGAAAATGGAATCGATGGGAAGTTCGAGCGGGCAAACCTCGAAGAAAGTAACGATTGCTGACTGCGGACAATTGTGAGCGCGTTTGCGCTGTACCTTTATGTCATCAGTAAATTGTTGTACCCCGATTTGTTTGTTAACCTGTCACTATCTGGGATGTCTGGTTTAATCGGAGAGCTCAATGAAAAACCTAATAAGTATTCTTAGTAAGTTATTCATCTAGCTCCGTCCGCGTTTTCTATGTTCATTGAGTGGTAGAAGGAGGTACCGTGTCAGCTCATTCACTTCGCAATCTTCCATGGATTACAAACGTAGTAGCTTTGGCATAGCTCAGGATGTAGTATCAGTCCCGCAGGATCTTGGCGTACACAGTAAGATGTCTAGCAAACGTTGGAAACTCGCTTCTTCCTGTGCATTGACAATCGGGTCCAGCAGTCGGTTCCAGTCATTAATTACTCGAATAGGAAGAGCAACATTTGTGACCTCGAGTACAACTGCCAACTCAGATGAAAAAGCTGCCTCAGCTCGTTCGCCAATTCTCCTCGTAGGATACGCCTATTATAGATGAGGTCTCCGCGACGTCAGTGATAGTCTAATGGTAAAAGGTTCTTACTCTGTAGTCATACGGGATAGGGTAGTTCGCGTAGCCCAAGGACAAATTTCGAAGCTCGTCGCTGAATTTGTTTCGATCTTATCACTTTCATGCTTCGATAGAGGTGCTATGGTCGGAAGTCCGCATTCAAGCATTGGACGGATGTGGGATGTGAAGTCTAAATATCTGCGGTCATTTAAGTGAATGATCTTATGGCGCTGTAGTGACCTGGAGATTCTCCCCTATGACTAAACCATTCTAACATATATTAAAGTTATGGCTTATGTATTGGGGAATTGTGCTGTTGGAACGTTGTTCTCGTTTGTTTGAAACACAAACACGATATCCGCCTTCTGGCGCACGCGACTGGACTGCGAACGACACCGTCCATGCACTCATCGCCCTACTACATCCTCCATAGTTAACTCTTTCCTGGTGCCCTATTTTTAGCGTTAGCTAGCTCTTCTTCCTTTCAACGATTTCCCTAGCTTAGCTTATTTGTGTTTTACCCATTGTCTTTGGTTGGCTGTCTAGTCTTGTACCGGATATATAGCGCACAATCATCGCGCTATAACGCCCCACATTCTGTCTGCCGCAGCAGTCACGGGTAGTTTTTAGCTCAGATGATACTACTCTCCCCAGGTGCTTTTTCTGTGGCAATCTTGTGTAGGTGGCCGCCAACGTGATAGATGCTCAATGATACAGCAGCCGGTGGCCGAGTGGTTGGCACGTTTGCTTTCCAACCATAAGTTCGCCGGTTCGAATCCGCGTAGGGGTGGGCGTCCTCGCGGTATAGCCTGCGCGCGACTGGTGGTGGTCGCGCGGCAGCGAAGCGCCGTTACGGCGTATAAGCTGACACATTTCATTTCATTCCGTACAAAGGACAGCGCTTATCCTTCTTGACCGGTAGACACCACTTGATAGACCTGGAATCCGTCGGCGTCTTCGAGTCTGGACACTTCCTACTGTAGCTTAGATGGTCTGCATAGATCAGACGGTCCGTTTGTAGCACACGTGGTAGGTTATTATTATAGATCTTGAACAATTCCGGTCCGAGCATTGAGCCTTGTGCCACTCCCATAGAGATAGATTTTGGAAATGTAAGGGTATCGTTTACTTTGACTTGCATGTTCCGGCCTTGCAAGAATTCACTGGTCCCTGTTATGCCAATTCCGCAGAGCTTAGAGTGTAGTTCCTGATGAGGGACTCTGTCAAAACCTTTGCTTATGTCCATTAAGATCACATTTTCCAGCGTCTTGTGACAGCCTAAAGCGCGAAGCGGGATCGGTACGCTTTAAAACCAATACGCGAAAATAAGGCCAACCTCCGGTGAGTGGAGAACACCAAAAGTAACGCTAGGAAAAATTTATTAAGTGGGCGAAAGGCTATCTAGTGCTAAAAATAAGGCACCGAAAGATAGCTAGCTAGGGAAAGGTGTGGTCGCGTGCGCGGAGAGCAAAGATGGCAGCGGAGCCGAGGAGCGTCGCGCCGTTCGAAGGCGGATGCTATGTTGACTCAAACAAACGCGAGCAACGTTCAAACAGGCGAGCGGCTATTTTGCTATGTACATCGAGAAAATATAATTTTGTGATTTTGTAATATTTTACGCAGCATGCGGCAGCCAAACAGGGGAATCTCCAGGTCACTACAAGCCAACTTCTCTCTTGCGACCTGCAGGTTAGTGTTACAGGAATGCTGAGTAGACGAAGTGATGTTCAGATCTTCGTAGTGTCGGTAGATGACATATGTAATGAGCTTTTCCATGATCTTGCAAGCGACTGACGTCAAGCAAATTGGCAGATAGTTCGCAGGGCTCTGGCGACTTCCACCCTTGTATTTCGGCGTAACTACACCCGTCTTACAGTCAACAGGCCGTCGACCATCCTTAAGAGAGCTGAAAATTTTAACCATGTAATGTTGGTGTAGGTCGCCCCGGATTATCTGTCGCTCACGCTCTGGTGTGTGCGAGCTTTTGCATTTTCCATTCTCCGACGTGTTAGGAATCTATTTGTCGCTTGTTGTGGTGTTTCGTAGCTTCTGTTTATCAGGAAGTGTAAATCGCCTGTCATCACTTCAATTTGATTATAAACCTGAGTCAGCCCTCACCCGCTGCAGGACCTGTCATAAGGCAGCGTTGGGAGGTGGAGGTAAAACACAAAGCTCCAGCTCCCTTGGCGAAGAAACGCGCCGTGTCATCTACCAAACCGGTCGAAACTGGTGTCAAGTCGAAGACTCGTGGAGTGAATACGCCTCGACGAGATGATTCTTTTACTGATAATAACGTTGCCTTTCGTAACGTTGCTGAATTCGCAGCAGCTGTTCCCATGGGACTCATGCTGGATGACCTTCAGTGGTTCAAGCTCTGCGTCAACAAGATGCTTCCACCTGGTTTCCCCGGTGTCACTATCAGGAACCTACCAGTTTGGGGAACGTCCCTGTCGATGTCAAATCCGCGACCGCGACTACTTCCTGTAGTCCTCCCTTCTTTCTTTTCCACATTTTTCTCTTACTCCCATCCCAGCCCCCATTACTAACCTTCCTTCTATAATTCCCAGCTTAATTGACAGCAACCGAAGTGCTACTGGAGTAGTGCCATCTTCAGCCACCATCCCACAGCACCTATCGGCAAAAGTCTTTTATAAGGCCACGCTGTCCCGTCTCCATGGCGACATTCAACATCCGCACTCTAAGACAAACAGGTCAGCAGGCTGCACTCGCACGCACCTTGGACACACTGGGTATTGATGTGTGTTGTGTGTCCGAAACTAGGATTAATGACCCCAACGGGGTTATTCAATTGACTGCACCCGGCTTATACTCTCGTTATTGGTTGCACGCATCCGGAGACGCCGATACAGCACTCACGGGTCAAGCTGGTGTAGGTAACATTCTCAGCTCCAAGGCTGAGTCATTGTTGGTTGATTGGATTCCGGTGAACAGCCGTATATGTGCAGCCCGTTTGACGACATCAGGTAAGGTGAACTCGCGAAGTAGTACAAAACACTGTTTGTTTGTGATTTCCGTTTATGCTCCCACCGACTGCAGTTCTAATGCAGTCAAGGACACTTTCTATTACGAACTGAACAGGCTACTACGCAGTGCTACTAGTTCAGATATTATAGTACTTGCAGGGGATACAAACGCACAAGTAGGGCGTCTGAGCTCTTCAGAAGCTCAGCTGGGTGGTAATTGTATCATTGTATCATTGTATGGTAGAGAGCAGAAGGAGAGTCCTTTATCAGCTCCGTCGCTTCCCAGTCATTGCGAACATTGCTGGGGTCATAGTGAAAATAGGGTTCCACAATGAACCATTAAAGCTAGGTTGTGAAGCAATATCCGGGCACAGTTATCAAGTGGGAATCCAATAATTTCTTGATTTTTTTTTTTGACTGCGCATCAACGACGAGCTCCGGCAAGCGATTCCAGCCATTAACCACGCGCGTGGATAGAGCTAGATTCGACCGCACATGGAGTCTCCTCGGTTTGAACAATTTCCATCCGTGACCACGTGTGGAACTTTCAGTGTTCAGATGAAAGAACTGCTGCAATTCGCTTCCAAGTTCTCCTCTTAGGATACGTCGAGTGTAGATCAAGTCGCCGCGACGACGACGGTAATCCAGAGAGAAAAGACGTAATCGCTGGAGGCGGAGAGGATAAGATAGGCACCGCAGTTCTGGCACATATTTAGATCCACGGCGCTGGACCTTCTCAATCATATCGCATTCCGTCTTCGTGAGAGGCTGGGCAGCTGGCAAGCCGTACTCGAGAATCGGGCGCACATGTGAGGCAAACAGGAGTCTGAAGAGTTCTGGAGTAAGGCGGGAGAATGCTCTTCGTAAGGCATGAAACATCCTGTAAGCAGCCGCGACTCTTTTCCGCGTGTCCTCAGTTGTTTTGAGGTAAGGAGACACAATTACTCCGAGGTCCCTTTCTTGGGCAACATTTCTCAGCAGGAAACCTCCAATATGATACACCCCGAATGGTTCACGACCACCAATCGGGAGTACGGAACATTTATCCCGGTTGATTGGTAACTGCCATTTTACCGACCAGTCGTGGAGCCTGTCTGCATCCTCCAGACTGGATACTTCAATCCAAAGTTTCAGGTCATCGGCATAAATCAAACATTCCGTCTGCAGCTCGAACGGGAGGTCGTTAATAAAGACATTGAAGAGGACAGGGCCAAGGACAGAGCCCTGTGGGACACCACTGGTCATAGGAAAAGGATCAGAAAGTGTATCATTCACCCTTACCTGCGCAGAGCGACCGTACAGGAAATCGGAGATCCAGGAGAGAAAATTTCCAGCAACGCCGATTCCGCGGAGTTTGGACAGAAGCCGCTCATGCGGAACCTTGTCAAATGCCTTGCTAAAATCTACAAACACAACATCCAATCGTTTGCCGGCATCTAGTGATCTCACCCATTTCTCCCTTGCCACAAGCAAGTTTGTGATGCATGAGCGAGCGCTTCGAAAACCATGCTGGGCAGAAGAGATGAAATCTAACCTTTCGAGATGAAGACATAGCGCGCGTTT